TAAATATTGCGACTCTTTTTAAATTAATTATAGCCATGAGAAAATGTCGAGTTTTATTAGTTTTTAAAAATATTGTTGATAAATTATTTTATGCTCGATCAAAAAACTTGAAAATGTAATACAAAGTTCCTCAAAAGTTGTTGTTTCTTAAAATTAAAAAAAAAATTAAGCGTAAATCCACAATGATATTTTATGAGCGTCAGAATTTAAAGTGTTGACAAAATGCATTAAAATTAGAAAATTAGTAAATTAGGAAAATCCAAACCCCATTGCAAAATAACCAAAGCCTATATACGTCTCAATCACAACTTATACTCTCCATAAAGATCTATCTATCCAAACAGTAAAAAACGTCGCCAAGATTTTCACAAGCGTAGCATTCCAATCACCTCAACCCCTTGATCTCAGAACTATCTTGTCCCACTATTTCTGATGAGTGGTGACATAGGCGCACATAGGGGGGTGCTTGGGGGTGCTTAGCACCCCCAAGCTTCAAACTAGCACCCTCAGTTTACTTCAGTATTTCACCAATCATTTATAAGCTATCGTGGTTTATTGGTTCGGAATTTTTCTTTTCATTACAAATATTGACAACTGTTTACGAATTCACGAATTCATATTTTTTTTTTTTTTGTCTGTCATCATCTTTTAGGACAGTAAAAGTGCTTGGATTTTTTTCAACAGTATCTTTTCTGATAGGAAAGTGAATCTAGTTGGTACTTTGGGGGGGGGGTCAGAAGCAAAAATTTCACAGTAGTTTTCAAAAGCGCCGTGAAAAACAAAAGAAAAATTAAGGAAAAACGGGAATTTTTACGCAAAATCTGTTTTCGAGAAAATTGATTTTGGTTTTTAGTGTAACTTTAAAACAAATGACCGTAGATATATGAAATTTTCACTGGTTATTTATATTTCCATTTTCTATACATGATAAAATTTTTTAAATATTTTGAGTTATTTTGAGCTTTTTACGGACATTTTAAGTTTCCATTTTTTTTAGTTTTTTTTTCTATAAGTATCAATAAAATTTTATTTGTTGGGTATAAAAGCTTAAACATTTAATAGAAGGCTCCTAAGTCCTAATATATTTTTTCAAAGAGAGATGAAAAATATTAAAAATCCTTTGTCACAGTTTTTAGTTATAAGCATTTAAATTCCAAATATTGACAAAATACGTGAAAATGACGAAAATTTGCAAAGTATTTCGTGTTAGAAATTCATAAAAATTTTTCTTTTTAAATCTAAGATATGAAAATGTAATGCAAGATTCCTCATAAGTTTGTCTGCCTTTATCAAAAAAAAAATGTCTACAAGAATCTCAAATTAAATTTTTATGAACGTTTGAAATTCATATTTTTACAACATTTGATATTCACTCGATTTCTCATGTAACGATTTTCTAATTTTGTTGTAATTAAAAAACGAATGACTGTAGATACTTGAAAAATTTACTAAATTTTTATATTAGCATTTCCTATACACCATATAGTTTTCAAAATATTTTGATTCTTTTTGAGCTATTTACGGACATTTTCAGTTTTCAATTTTTTTAATTTTTTTTCTATTCATATCAATAAAATTGTATTTGTATGGTAAAAAAGCTTGACAATTTAATGCGAAGCTCCTGATATATTGTTACAATAACACTTGAAAAATATTAAAAATACATAGGCACAATTTTTTTTATAATTATTTAAAATTCAAATTTTGACAAAATTTATCACATTTAAAATTTAATAATAATTTTATAGTTTGAAAATGTATAAAATGTTCAACTTTTATAGCTAATGATTGAAAATTTAAAACAAAATTCTACGTAAATAGGTTATATATAAATTGCTTTATTCACCTTAGTATCATCAAATATACTTAGTAATATCATAGGCTGACTAACCGTCTTCGCTCAGAATCGTTTTTCTTATACAATGATGTTAGTATATCATTGAATTCAAATTTAATACCATCGATTATACAGTGACCTACTTGTACCCTACTGTACAGCAGAGCACCTTTTTTTGTTTATCAAACTTAAATAACTTTTATTTTCGTTTTGATATCGGAAATATAAAAACAAAGTTACAGAGTAAATTTTCTCATTTTTATAGTGTGAACATTTAGTTTCTTAGCTTAGAGTAGAGACTGAATGTTTTTTATACCCGTGCAAAACAGTTTTGCCTATGTTGTACCTACGTCTGTAATACGGAGACAACACATGTGGGTGTACCTAGCGTCTTCTTTACAATCATACAGACTATTTGATACATTGCACTTTAGAAATGATTGTATACACTATACAAATTAAATCTAATGCAACGCAGAAATATTAGGATTAGGGGGGTGTGGGGGGCAAAGCCCCCCACGGATCTGTGAACCATAAATTATCCCAGCACCCCCTAAATTCACACCCTATGTGCGCCTATGAGTGGTGACCCCAGAAAGCGTCTAAATGAACGTGGTGTCGTGATCTACTAATTGACTAACCACTAATTTTACATGTTATGAAGTCTGAAAAAAATAATCTAAATTTAATTATACTCTACGTTTTCTAATAGTTTTTATAAATCTATAACCTCACTAGTATTTATATAATACGTACTAGTAAAAATAATACTTTATACATTGTAAAATTACTAGATTAAAAATAAAAAGAAGGTAATATTATACCATGTATTGTTCTGTGATTATACTGTTGTTACTTGTTGTTGTATACTTGTACAACTTGAACACACATGCGTACCTACTACCTATAGCATATATTAATTTATCGTTTTCCACCTCGTTTAATTTTTTCCACGAGGTCATTTGTAATCTGATATTATAATAGTATAGTAAACCTATGATAACAGGATTAAAGTTTTATACAAAAAAATATCCGGGGATAATAACTTGTCTATAGGAGTGAAACAAATTTACCGACGTTTTACCCTTTCACTGGTTCATTATTTATATTGGTTATTGATTGTTTAAACAAAGCTGCCGACAGCAGTTAAACTTTAATATGATTAGAGTGAACTGACCATTCATCAAACTTAATTTAAATAATAATATTATATCTAGGACACCTTACCTAATGAGACTCTATTGGTTATATTTACCTTTACATTGAGTTATAGATATAGCTATTATAATTATTTTAAAGTGATCATAGCTCGCTTTAAAATTTAAATACCAATGATAGCCTTTATAATATGATGCCCAAGATAAGATTCTTCATTTCTAAGTTTTCAACAATCGTTAACTTAGTGTGAGTACATAGACGTAACTAGAGCCATTAAATTGAGTGGGCTCGAGCCCATAGTTAAAATGTTTAAAAGAGGGAAGGGGTTGTAGGACTATATCCTTGTGGCCTTGTCCCTTACTCTTAATAAACAAGAAAATATAATACAATTATGAATACCAACATTTTCAATAAAGAAACACAATTTTAAATATCCACCAGCAAAGTATATTTACTATAAAATAGTACTTTTTGTTATAATTGCATTTTCCTATCTTTTTCTGCTAATTGGTTAAGAATATCAACATTTTTAATTGTGTTTGATAATTCTCACTCAATGTTAAGAATACTTAAATTTGTAAACCTGTTTTGTGCCATATTTGACCAGTTGACCTTAAATAAGTACTAATTCTTCTCATTGAGGAGAACGATCGTTCACACGAAGCAGAACTAATAGGAATTGACAATGCAATTATGCAACATGCAATAATTTGTAGACATTTGGATATGTGTCAAATTTAACAACAGAATGGAGTATCTCTCTCTGAGTTAGAGCTTCACAGTTATTTTTTTTTGTTTTCCAAAGAATTTTTGGCTACAGTAAGTTCAAATTTTAGATCAGTTTCTTCAATTTGTAACATAGACTGAAACAAAAATTGTTATGATAAAGAATCAAACACAAAGGAAAAATTGAATTTTGTTTGAACTATTTACATGATTGACAAAACAGGAATCTTTTTCATATTGAAGATCTAAAAATGTGTCAACTGACTTAGCAAATTTTCTATTGTGATATAAGTAAACAAAAATGAATTATTTAAATAACTTGCTTGTTTTCAATTCATATTTAATTTTACTATTTTAGGTGGGCTAGAGAGGCTGAAGGGTGGGCTAAGCCCACCCAAGCCCCCCCTATTTACGTCTATGTGTGAGTACCTACCTCATAATTCAACAAGACATTATTTTAATAAATTACTTTACAGTTTACATACATTACACACAATACACACTACACACTTTATAATGTATAATACATTTACTAGGTAAAGATTTTTGACTAAAAACACGTTTAAAGTAATTTGTAAGTTATTAATACATGAATACTATAATATACTATTGTATGTCCAATGTACAGTCCAAATAAAAAAGTAATTATTGATAATTTAAATCTCCCACCGCCTTTAACCAATTCCAGGTTCAAACGCCTGCACTTATTTTGGGTAGGCTCACCCGATGTTTTAGCCAAGCATAATAATATTGCTATCTACTACAGTTTACCAATTTTGTTTGTTATTCAATCATTTCAATTATTTTCGTTTTGTTTTCACGGCCAAATCTTCTGGTTAATATGATATGAATCCATTTTTTATCTATAGTGAAACGTGTTTTTGTTGCACAACATATAGGGCCACGATCTTATTATAGTACACACGTAATTAGGTAAATAGCACAAGGAATATTGTTTTAGAACAAATAAATAATATATCATTCGTTTATCAGTTGAGTATATTTAGAACAAAATAAAATAATAATATTAATAATAATAATAATAATACTATAATAGTAATAACGATAATATTTATAAGGACAACGTAGTGAGTGGTGAGTCAGATATACCTAATGTGTAATAGTACCTACTGTACAAAAAACTAAAGACGACTGTCGAAGGGGTAGGCGAGTGAGATTTCAAATTTTTTTTTTTAAATCTGCACTTTATATTTATCTATAAGTATATATATATATATATATATGTATAATATATCACTAGTCTGTATGGACGAGCTTATTAAAAACGTCGAAAGAAACTTCCAACCTTATTCATGGCTCCCTTAGCCATCTTGGCGGGAGCATTGGTTAGCCCCTTAATCCTCTGCTTGATCATTTCCTCGTTTTCGGACGGTTTTATCAGACCCTCGAAGGCTTTCACCACTTTGAACAGTCGGCCTCTAATCACGGGCTCCTTGAGCAAGTCGACGGTCCGGGCGGTCGTGTGCCTGATATAGTCTCGGATCTCTGGAGTTTTCGCGATGCGTTCGACAACCGCCTTCGTCTCTTTGAATTTGTCGGACGTCGTGTCCACCTCCCTCAGGATGAACGCCAGCATCTTGTTCATCATACCCAGCGAGTAATGGGCGTTCTGGCTGGTGGCCATCACACTGACGAAGTTAAAAATGGCCCGCGTTGTGTCCGAGCACACTTCGTCGGAGCCTAATTCCTTACCTGTATTAAACGTTAGTTCCATCAACTGCATAGCCGCCGGGTTGCTAAATGCTTTGTCCCAGATCTTCGATTTGTATTCATCGCACTGGCGGTGCTCCATCTGTATTTCAACAGACGCTTCTTCCTGTTCATCGAAAGGTTCATCGTCAGAAAAACCACCACATCTAGCTTCCTGTGCACACACAAAATATTATAATATATATAATATATGATTATAGGTACAGAGGTACACACATATTATACAGAATACTTATACTCTATAGTTCACTGACATCACATATTATATGGTTAGAAGTAAATATTTGTTCAGTAGGATTGTAGGAACGATACCTACCAATGGGTTCCCCCCACCAAAAAAAATCACGGTTTAATCAATTGAAAGTCAATAGGCGCAAATAACCTAAATTGAGACACCATACATCATCCAGCTATAGTTATCGACATTGGTATTAATATAATTTATTGTAGCATAGTAATAAAAATATTTTTTTATTTTAATAAAACGCACGAGGTAATAAATTTAAAATATCATCAATATGTATACCTATCGTTAAATAATAATAATATATATATATATATATAATATATATATATTATAATAATGAAGATAAAGGAATCTAGTGCTCTGGTAGTCTGGTCCATGGTTAGGTACAAGTATGAATCATCTCCATAGGGACAATTTTCTGGAGGAGGGGTCGTGGGTAGAATTGCTCCGGCAGCACAGACCCTGATAGTTACATTTTAAACAAAAACAAGGTTAAAAAACTGGAGTGTTACAGATAAAACTTAACGTTAACCCCCTCCCCTTCCTGAGCCCCTCCCTAATTTCGCCTATGGACATCTCCTAATAGGAAAAAAATGACATTTACTAATGAGAAGATGAGTTTTTTTTCTGGGTTTCATAGTTCTCTGCAATAGCCTCTCCCTAATTGAGCAGACAATTCTAGCTGTGGAAAAATTATAAATTTTATTTAAATAAATAAAAACCTTAGGTTAACATTTTCGGGGAAAAGTAAACTGGGCCCGAGGTTACCTTTTTTGTTGTAAACTCGGCCCAGAAATTTAAAATAATAAAAAAGGTAGGTTGTAAACTCGGCTCGATAATTATTTTGACCAATAAAATATAATAAGCACGATATTATAATTTAATCTGCAAATATTAAACAATTAACTATATTATTCTATATCTTATCGGAACAATTTGTTGCTAACGAATGTTATATTATATCGGTGTGTATATCGGTGAGTGAATACGTCAAACACATGGATTTTTAATTCAAAAAATAGATTTAAATAACCATACATTATTAATTATTACGCTACAGTTTTACTTATATTTTTACGCTTTTATACACTTACAATTTTTCATGGATACATTTTACTTATATTTTTTAATACTGAAACTAAATTTTTACTAAATTTTAGTTTATTTTACATTTATATAACGAACTTCATACTCTGAATAAAAATAAGAAAATGTAAATAATTTTTTGAGGATAATGATAATCGAATCCTCGTGGTGTCCTCTGGGTAATGCTAAATGGTTCTCAAAATTATTATACATATATATTTATTCCGGCCGAGTTTACACGTCAATCATTTTTACCTGTAAAAACCCAGGACCGAGTTTACACCCAAATAATTATAACCTGACAAAAACACCGGCGGAGTTTACAATAGACCTTTTGAAGATTTTTTCTCCTCGGGCAAACTTTACAATCGCTCACATTTTTCCACCCATTGTAGTGTATATAATACCTACGTATGCCTACTACAAGTGTACGCGGGACCTTCTATTGGATTGTCGTTTTTGAGCGTACCTACATATAGGTATACCTATTTTAATTAATCTGTGTCGGTGTTGTCGGTGTTATCTATGAATATTCAACGAGACTACGTTGTACAACAATATTGGTAAACGAATGTAAAGCGGCTTTGAAAATTAAAACACGGTTGTTAAATATTGTACCAACGCTTTGTTATACCCGTTCTCTAAGTGTATATAATATCATGGACAGTTTATAAAAAATGTATAAAAAAACAGACACCCAATTCTAAATATAACATTTTAGATGCACATTTAAAGACGTGTTTTATGTAGAACAGAAAAAAAATAATATAATATATTCGGTGTGATTTTCAATAATTTCAAATTGAAACGTCGCGCATCCCGAATACGCACGTCCTATATTTGTGGCTTTGTGCAGTCAGTTTGATTCACTTGTTCCCTACCCATTTCAAGTAATGTATTAGACGCTATTCGATAGGTTTTGTTTAAAAAAAAAACTTATTATTGTTATCAGGAACGGTTTATTGTAGGGCACATGCGACATCGTAAAAATGATGTGGGATACACGTGCCGTACTCGCCGAGTTCGTCGACCTGCGACCATATTAAAGTGAAACATCCCATACTCGCTGCAGCAAACGATTATGGTCTTATGATATCAGATATTTATATACTTTACAATATGTACAGGATGACTCGCCGAGCATGCTGCTCACCTCCAATTGTCCTTCATTAATTAATTTATTCAAATTCTGATTTTTGGAATTTTCAAGTATAAAAATTTAAGTATTTAAGTACAAAAATCATGTCTTAAGGGCTATACAAGAATCAAGTACTTAGATTTTTACATAATTTAAGGAGTGCACTGTGATGACACAAAATGTTTTTTTCAAATGAGAACCAACCTTTTTTACTGTAAACTATCAAGCAGATGATTTGTTTGAAAATGTTGATGTATCTACATCATTATTTAAATCAACATTTGAACAAGTAGTACCTATATGAGTTATTAAAATAAACATACGTAGGTACTAAGAAATAAGGATAATAGTTATAAAAAATGAATTCATATGACTATAAAATAGATGCAATGTTTAGTCGTGTATACAGGGTGATTCATTAAGCGTGAAGCACTCATTATCTCAAAAAGTATTAATGTTTTTGAAAATATTTTTTTACATAGTCACAGGTGGAGTAGTGGACAAACATTTTACGGGGTAACCCCATACCACTCCACTCTACCCATCTAAACTTAAAATACTTATAACTCATAAACTACTAGCCCTAAATTCAATTTTTACGAATCAAAATACTAAGAAAAATATCTATTTTGGAATATTAAATTAAAACTCTATACTGTCATTCAAAAAAGTAAAAAAACTTAAAAAATTTTAAAGATAAAAATATTTTCAAAAACATTAATACTTTTTGAGATAATGAGTGTTTTACGCTTAATGAATCGTCCTGCATAATATATATGGTGTATAATATTAAACTCAGACCTATTTTAATTGTACCCATAAATTATTATCCTCAGCATTCACAAATTTAATAAATAACTCAAATACTATAAGTTCGAATTTTGGTTTAAATACATCAACAGTTAAAAAAGTTATCTGCCTATAATAATATACAGGAAAAAGGGCAATCCACATTGAAACAAATTATGTTGGTATCGCCACAGGACACTCGCCTGCATACATGTGTAGGTATAAAAAATCTAAGTAATCCAAAATAAGGTCATTAAACTCAATCATCAGAGTGTGACGATTCATTATCAAAGCAAAAATTGAGGGCTAGCGTGCCTGGTGAATCAATCTGTATAATATAGTTTGTTTGTTTTTACCTGTACTACAGCTATGGCTATTGCCATGACGGCTACGTATAATTTGTAACTTCCCATGTTGTAAATTATCGCTATCGCACTGGATACACGACGAGATATTTGTTTGAACAAACTTTTGATAAAAAATTACTAGGTTTTATACTTTGTGAAAAGGTATTGCACAAGTGTTTTAACATATGCTTTGTTTAAATGGTTAGTGAATATAATATATTGGGGAAAAAAAATGTTAAAACGTTTAAATGCCTTATTATACGCTATTGGGTTTGTTGCAATACAAAAAAAAAAAATAAAATAATAATTGAGAAAATTAGAAAAATTACTAACACATCTGGTAAACTTAACGCAGAATTAGTCGTAACACCCTGCAACAATACAAACTTATTTCGGTGGGTAGGGTAATATTTTGTTTAAACTATACTCATGTAAAACGTCAAGTTTTAGAAACAAAAAAATATTATAATAATCGCGATAAGCTCTATATATATTTGGACGGTAAAAATACCTCTCAACACATCTTAATCTACGGAGGTCAGAAATCTTATGCAATTTTTTTTTTTGTTACGACATGATGATTATAGTTATTATTATGCTATTGCATATGTATTTGTGGATTTCGATATAATATAGTACAATATTTAAATATTATTTACTTGTACACTCAGGAATTTATTATAAATTTAAACAGTTTTGTGTCATTGTACGAAATATTATGTATGGGTGGCTGACGTGTGATAATAAACCAGAATCATCGACGCTTATCATTTCAAAAACACTTTGTCGATTGTGTTTGTGTATTTGTGTGTAATCATAACTACCTACTATAGGTATTAAACTTGAAAAATTTCAAATTTAGACTTTTTTCAATTATTGTATTGTTTATTTAAATTATGTAATATAATATTATTCATTATTATAATTAATCCAGTCTTACTCATCTTATAAACTGCAATAATAAAATATTGAAAAAAATATTACTTAAAAAAATATATAAAAATTAATGATTTTATTGTTATCTATATAATTTCTTTTCAAAATCTAAAATGTTCGTCTTTAGAAATTGTGCATAGTATTTAAACATTTCGTAAGATGAGTAATGACTAATAATTGTTATACAACAATGAATTTAATGTAGGTACGAGGTACCTATCGTTGTGACGTTGTATATGCTTTTATTACACATATTATACATATGTATATATGTATTCGTATTTACATATATATTATATATAATTATAACTATTACGAAAAGTAAAATATGTATTTTTAGAGATTGTCGTACTATGTAATTTCAAATTTCACAGAGATACATTTTGTTAAAATCTCTTTAATATGCACTTTTAAAAATAATAATGTTAATTATTGTCGTACTATCATGGGCGTTCTCACGGGGGGGGATATGGGGGATAGATCCCCCCCCAAGGTTCTTTATTTTTTACATATTAGTAATACACGTTTTGTCTACTTTTGATATGTGTTTGTGTTTTCAATATTGACTTGGTAGTTATTATTTTATTTTTTTTTTTGCTATTTTTCTTTATCGTGATTAATGATTCCACCAGCCGTAAACAATATTATTATTTATCACTGATAATTATAACATATAACAGGCAATTCGCTTTACAATTGATTTGTACTATATTTTTGTAAAGAATCACTCCGTCACCAGCGTTAGAAAAAATGTAAAGGTAAGATACACAATAATAACACCACAGTGATAAAATAAAATAAATAATTTAAACCAGGGATGGAAAACGTTTTTAAAAAACGTTAGTAAACGGAAAAAAACGAAAACAATTAATAAAACAAAAACAAAAAACGATAATAAAAAATCCCAAAAACAGAAAAAAATTAATTACGAAATCAAAAACGAAAACGCAAATAAATTATAGTATTATACATTATTATATTTATAACACGAAAAAAAAACGTTACTAAAGTATTTACTTTTTAATCTTTACCAACAATGCTCTATTAAAATTTAAAAACATTTTTATTTGAAATCAAGAATAATTAATTTTAATTTTTACTCTTATGTGCATTTCTAAATTGCTAAATTTACTACTATAAAAAAAAAAACAATATTATCAAAAACAATATAGAAAAATAACGTTTTTAAAAATGTTAATCAAAAACGGTAAACAAAAACAGTATTTTTTAAATCAATAAACAAAAACGAAAAAATTTAAAACATTTTCCATCCCTGATTTAAACTGATTCATAATATTCTTTTATAGTTGAAATAAAAAGAACAATAAATATGACTTGAATTGATTACCTATTTGATATTATCAACTATATTACTATCAATATTATTAGATTCTGAGCGGAGTGAGGGATCTATTGGTTTTTCAATATTGTTTATATTTATTTTTACTTTATCCTGCATACAAAATGTCTACCAGAAGGAGTTCTTCGCTTTTAACATAATATACCTAGTATATCTATTATTTTAGCAAATTTTATGAAGATGGTACTTTAGAGAGGTAATTTTTCAATTTTCTCAATATTTATTTAATGACACATTACAATTTCACCGACAAATTTCAAAAACCGCTAAAAATGTGATTTCAATTTCTAACTCTTTGTTTATCACCATAGAAACAAATAAAATAAAAATAATGATTTTAGTTATTTTATCGTAATTTATAATATTAATTCAACTTACAGGCTATAATAAAATATAATAATTAATAATAATATAAAATATCCAGACTGACAAACCGTCTCCGCTCAGAATCGTTTTTCGTATACAATTATATGATATCATTGAATTCAAATGTAATACAATCCATTATACAGTTACCAACTATTGTAATCTACTGTACAGCAGAGCGACATCCACTCACCCGCTTTTTTAATATTTATTATTATAGTATGGGAGTTGTGAGGCAAAACCCTTACGGCTTATTTTGAAACCATTTTTTTCATCCCCCTCCATTGAAATATCCTGAGAACGCCTCTGCGTACTATATTGTTATTCAACAAAATATTCAATAATAATATTTATTTATTTTTCTCAAAATACTATATTATGCATTCTGTGTCAATTAGAACAATAAGCTCAAGTGATAAATATAAGATAAACAATGATGTAGAAAAAAAGACGGAGAGAAGAGGTTGCCCAACGGAGGTAACTCAATATTAATTAATAAAATAGCGATAGGTACTAAATACTAATAAATACTAGTAAACTAGTATACTTAGGTATACTAATGCATTAATAATATAGAAAACGAAATGTTATAATATTAAATGAATTATAATTTATAACCATAATATGGTATTATGATCAATTGATCATATTATAATATTAGTAGGACCATAATAACCTGCTATACTAATATTTAATATAAAAGTAATATTTTCCTAACATCAAAGTTATAAAATAATTCAAATTAAAACTTCATAGTACCGCCGCTATTCATTATTTTTCAGTTAACAAAACTTGAAAAATGATTCAAATTTAATTTTCAATATATGAAGTTATGAATGAAACTTGAAAACATTTTTTATATAAAAAAGAACATTGGTACTTCAAGATCAAAACTTGCAGCTCAAGATCTATTGCTTATAATATATACGCGCCACGAACTTATTCACACCGTAGTACTGTACATCAGTACTTATTGACTTATAATTAAGTTAATAACAGATATAGGTTGTTACCTACTACCAAAAGAACAATTTATATGGCTCTTCTAAGACATATATGGTCCTATAGCATGCAACTTTGGGGTTCTGCCAAACCATCAAATACTACAACAACAAAGGCATTTCAGTCTATATGTCTATGATTAATATCAGGTGCCCTCTGATATATTACCAATGAATCACTTCATAAAGACATCTGCATTCCAATCTTAAATAATCTTGCTATGATCACCTACAAAAAACACACTAAACATACAGTAGGTACTGAGTACTCACTCAAATCCTATAACCACTCAACTATCATCCAAACAAATTCCAGGTAATCCACCCAGGTGCCTGAAAAGGAACTGGTGTAGGTAGGGACCTACTCTCTCCTTAAATCGCTTTCCACGGGGTGTCACCACTGGGTGACTTCCAGAATCAAATTAATTTATTGTATATCATGTAAATACAGATATACAGATTAATATATACATTTTTGATCAATAAAAAAAAAAAAAAAATGTACCTACTAGTAATATCTAGTAATATTATATGGGGAAGAAATAATATTATAATATTGCGATTTTGTTTTTGGTAAAAATTATTTAGACATACCGTATTACTAAAGTACTAACAATATAATAATAAAACAGTAGGTACCAGCAATATAAATAAGAAATAGTAATAATATTCTTAGAAATATATGCTGACCGCCTCCGCACAGAATCGGCTTTCATCGTTGGTAGGTATGCAATGATTTATCATAGAATTACAATTTATCTTATGATAACAAGTAGGTACCTTACTCAATGACAGCGAACACTGATGCTGAGCAAAGCAACTTCCCCGGCTTTAGGTCTAAAAAAATGTCGTTCATATTTCAAATTATCACGAATTATGCGTGGGTATCAATGTATCATAATAAATCATCATAAATTGCTTCGTAATGAACATACTTTTCCAAACAAAGCCGTTACTTATTATTATTCAATCACTCAATTATTTGTTGTATATATGCCCTATATGGTTGATATTAGAGAATATAGCGATTTATATTTCAGATAATAAAGTTTCATGTTGCATTCAATAGTAGGCAAAAGACAGTTCAATGCCTTGTATCAAATTATTTTATATTTTTTTCTAAAGAAGTAGACGACCACGCAAAACAAAAAACAGTGAGTGTTGTTGAACACTCGGCAGGAACGAAGTTCAGTGCATGTGATGACGAGGTGGCCGAGCGGTCTAACGCGTCGACTGCGGCGCTGGCAGTCGCGGGTTCGCCTCTCGACCACTGGGCGGCATTTTTCTCCGGGCAAGTCACGGTGTCCGGAGTACAAGTGCCGCCATCCCCCAACCCGGGGCATGGCAGAAACCTACGGGTGCCCCAATAAAAATTCTGCCACCACAAACACACACGTGTACCAACCTACCCAATCTAAAAACCTACAGTTCCCTACCAACACCCAATGGCCTATGTTGCCGCGGGTTATCCAATAAAAAAAAAAAAAAAAAACCTATTGATGGTTAAGTCAAATTCTACTGAAAGAAATTTTAATAATGATACGGTTGATACAGCTTGTACTCGATTATCGTTTTTCAAAAGTAAATTTATAATAGATTTGTATGTATATAGAGAAGAAGGTAAATGGAAATCACAATGGAATTTATAAATTTAAGGGGCAAAAATTATTTTGAAAATAAAATTCTTATCACTTTCCTTATCAATAAAAACAATATTTATGAAAATCCCAATAAATCCCATCAAAAACTCAAAACCCCGAGTTTCCCCTTGGCGAGGTGGGTTTTAGTACTCTCCCGGACCAAAATCCATCAAAAAAGCAAAATCCAAAAGGGGGGGGGAGGAGGTGCACCCGTTCCCTAAAGTTGAAAACTGTAGTCTTCATATTAAGAATGGGTTCCCCCTTGGTCCGAGGTCTTTAACTTGAATTCCGGCCGAGTTATACTCAACTCAAAATGTGGGGGGGTGGGGGCTTTGGTTCCCTAATGTTGAAAATTCATCTGGGGCCTAAAAAATTGAGAGCCCATTGGTCCGGGGTCTCTAAGTCGAATACCGGCTAAGTTATGCTTCGTCAAAAATAATTACTCGTTTAATGGGTCCCCCCCCCCCCATTCCGCCCGACGATCACCTCTACGCGCGTGACGACCGATGTTGGGTAGCCTACGCGAATGGAACCCGGTTGCCAGATGGTACGATCCTAGTGGGGACATACGATAATATGAGAGGAGGGAGGGGATATGTAAGCCGGCAGCCGAGCAGAGCCGAGCCGAGCCGAGCCGAGCAATGTGTTACGCTTTTCGGTGTTACGCTTTTTGGTGTTGCGATTTTTGGTGTTGCGATTTTTTTCCAGCGACTCCCATCCACCTAACGCCCCATAAGGAACTTCGTTCCAAAAACAAAAGTATCTGCAACCATGCAATACATTAATACATACCTGATAAGTGTATCATAAAATTAAGCGCTTTAGGCGGAGATCGTTTGAAATTTAATTTGATCGGATTGCAATTGCACTTATATTTTTGTCGAATTGTACTCGGGACAGCAAAATGTCAATGTTCGAACGTTGCACTCGTTTCCATCACTACATAACCTAGTCGGCGCTCCGAATAATAATTTGTATTTTTAATATCTAAAGTTTATTGTTTTTATTTTAACAATTACATAGGAACAGCAACAATTTAAAAACTGCTCGAGTATAAATACAGATAATTATAAAAAAGTATTTATAAATACTTTATTTTTTTAGAAACATAGGAAATATTTATATCTTTCCCTTTAAACGTATTCGCATCAGTTTTATTATGATATCGATGTACAATATAGTACCTTAATTAGCTTAAATACACTATCTACCATATACCCATATTTTGAATTAAATTTATGATTTTTGGCTCTGAAAGTGATTATCTGTAAATTGTTTCACTGTTTTTATAAATAAAAATAAAACTTTTAGTCAATTAGTAATACTTTACGACTATAGTGCACATGTCCATTTATAGACTTTTTATAATTTTAAAATTAGTAATACTCCTTATTTAACTTTAGATAGGTACCGATACTTTGAGACAGTATTCAAAATAGGTAATACTTCCAAGTACCTACTAACTGTTTTAAACGTATTAAAATATGGATTTGAGTAGGTACTAGATTATTGAGTATTTGAATACATTTACTGAATTACATTTACTCAAATATACTTAACAAGACTGTAACTAGACTCCTAGTACCTACTTAATGGCTTACACTGTCTTACTGTCTAATACACAATGAGACTTGTACAATAAAATGAAAATCATTGTACAAGATTCGAATTGTCGTGTATCGAGTCGTCTTATCAACAGTAAATTCTGACTTATATTGGCAGTATCGCCAAATATTATTCGCATGAACCTTAGATTTATTTGTACGTATCGGCGGCAGTCATCGTACATGATTTTTACCATATGATGGTTGATGAATAATTTACGCCATGGTAAACTATAAAAAAAAACACTAACACAGTGTATACTATTCCAGCCTGCTCCAGAGTGAGATTTTAAACGAGCGATAGAAACATAATATTTTGGGCGGTTCCGTTTTCCTCCAAAAACGAGATACCGTTTTCCTCCACTGTCCATTTTCTCCACAAAAAAAAGGTTGGTTTCCATTCTCCTCCACATTATTTTAGACTGAAATTATGTCTATTTTCCCCCAATATTTTAGCCAGTGTTGTAGTATTATACGTTCCATATTATAAAGACAGAGTAAGGCTGGGATCCAGGGCTTGCAAACGTTATGATTATAATGTTATATTTGACAAAAAAAAACTATTGAAACTTGTAAACGTAATTATAACGGAAAGCGATAATCAAAAATAATTAAATACCTTAAAACAAAACATAACGATTAACAAAATATATATTATTTAACATAACACATAACGTATTTTATAGAATATCATTTACCGAAAAATAACGTAAAACTAAATATTTTAAAATCCATTTATTTAAATGGTCTATTTGGTTTAGTAGAAACATTTATTTCATGCGACAATCTAAGAATTGATACAATATATATTATATTTCCTATCCGGGCCATTACCTTTACCTACCCGAATTAGTTATTATTTTTACATTTTATAGGTATTAACACTATTTTAAATAACGATGAACGCAAAACTTTTATAACGTTTTAGTTCTAAATAACGATAAATGCAAAAATTGCTAACGTTTTAATTGTAAATAGGTAACATAAAACAGACTTTTTTTCAAATGCAACTTGCAAGCCCTGCTAGGATCATATTTTCGGTTGATACATTCTAGTATCGGCTTTATCTATATCAGCTACCGATTAAGCCTAATAAAGAATATTTTTTATTTTTTTGATATAATATCTATATAATATATATAAAAATGGAGCTTGAAAAATTGTTGTTACCTCATCAATTGAGAAAGGCTGGTCCGATTTGGCTCAAATTGTTTTAAGATGTTCGTAATTGCACCTTTTTAATTTTATATTCCGAAGCAAACTACTTTATTTGGATTATTTAAATGAAAACGATTTCGGACGAGTAAAAACTTAATTAGTTTTAAGTAGGTAAAAGCACTAAAAGGTTTAAGTAGGTGTTTAAAGTATTGATGAATGGTGTAGTGAAAAATATTGTTTGTCACGCCTATGCCGAAAGCTTGATTTTCGATAGCAGTTGAAGCGTTGGAAAGCATCCTTTTTCTGTCCGGGCGGTAAAATAGAAATCCCCAAAAGTGGGATATCACGAGCGTATCCCCTGCACAACCAGACATTGAAATCTATACCACGATCCTTAAAAAACATACACTTTTGGTAACATCTTATATTCATATTATAATCTCCATGCGTGACGCTTAAAATAAATAAAACCAAATCGTTTTTTCATGAAATATTGTTGTCATAGAATTATAGCCTAGTTGTTGCATAGATCCCAGCATTACCTTTGCCGTGATCAATGAATGCAGAGGCGTGACAAGAAATAGTATGTGTGGCTCGTGCGGGAAAACAATTTTAGTCTTGGGCGAAATGCAGCCCTCACCTGCGGTTCGTGCCGCACACGTCGCCCGCGACTGAAATAGCTCACTTCTCCCCCTTGCCACACAATATAGGTACTATTTCCTGCGAGGCATAACACTCAGCTCAATGTCTAAACTTTAAATATTCAAATCATAATCTACTCGTCCAAAATTCGATTTTAATAAATCAAAGTGCATACCCCAAAAAATATTCCAATTTTTAATAAGGAATTAAAAAATTTATGTTGTCTTTAAAATTAGTGAAAACTAAAAAACTACCTGTATAATGATAAAAAAAATATAATGTTGTTTTGTAACTAAAAATGTTTTCAAAAACATTAGTATGATAATTGATGAAGTATTGAATTTCCTGCCGATAAAACAACCACACAGTGTAGGATGGAAAATTAATTTTCTTATTATTATTATGTTGTTAACAATTTCATAATCTATAAATAGGTAGGTCTATTATTTGCTTTATGTATAGAAAATCGAAGGTACCTATAAACTGCATTTATAATAGATGCTTTAACCGGATATTCTAGTTTATTCTTTAGGCAAATAACATGTTTAGCATAATAAGCTGTTATCGTTAATACGTTATTGCGTTTGCATTCCTAATTATTGAAAGTATAATATAATGATTGACGCGCCTTCCTTCCAACGTAGGTATACGTGTAAGAAAAAACATTACTAGGTATAGATGTAGCCACGTAGGCTTAGTATTAATATTATAATATATTATGATACAGACATACAGTTGTTCAATATAAATTTTAAATATATCGTAAAAATGTTCGTGTACTATAATATTATATGTTAACACTGTTTATTGTTATTATTATTTACTTATTTATTTATTTTTTTGGTTTTAGCAACAATAATATGTATTTCGTTGGAGTGGACGTCGGGACGGGAAGTGTTCGGGCGGCGTTAGTCGACGGTACAGGACGAATTCTAAAAAAATCTACCAGTGCTATTCAAACGTGGAATCCCGAAGAAAACTTTTATCAACAATCGTCCGAAGACATATGGCGCAGTTGCTGTAAAGTCGTGCGGGTAAGGAACGAGAAACTATAACCAAATCTAATTTGTCTCTACATAACACAATTTTATTATTATTACACGAGTCTATATTATTCGAAAATTATCGATGATATTAATATACTCTTTGGTATAATACCTATTACCTACCATTATCAATATTAAACTTATACGGATGCGGCATTCTGTATACAATAAATCTGCAGTAAGTCACCATGATTAATACCATACTAAACTGCAACATGTTACATATCATTTCTCTCTTGTATAAGTGCAAGTTTCTTTAACGTTCAGAAGCATCTGCGAAAGTGAGAACCATATCTCTTCGTTATGACTTATGATGCTGGCCTAAGAGTGTAAGTTATAGATTTAAGTTTCTAAGCTATAGGAATGCCGTATCCATATAATATACGTTAATATACCTCTACACGATTAACATTTGAACGCGATGCATATATATATATAATATGCATTGTGCGTAATATAGGAAGTCACAGAAGGAGTATCATCGGAGGCGGTCGGAGGTATCGGATTTGATGCTACGTGTTCACTGGTAGTCGTGGACAGTGATGGACTACCATTATCAGTAAGCAAAAACGGTAAGAAGTTTTTGTTATACCTTTCATAAATATATAGGTATATAGTAATAATAATCACATTCAAATGTTCATAGAAAAATTAATGTTACTTTTCATTAAACTTTTTTTTGTTTAAACATTTCTCAAGGCTATAACTAGCTGAAAAAGAGACAAAATATATCGTAATTGATACAATTCATTGAAAATTCTAATATAAATATTTGGTAAAAATATCAAAGGTCTGCGGTTATTAGATTTTTAGTTGCACCAAAAAAATAATAAAATCGATTTTTTCTAAAATTGGATTTTTATAAAAATTACCTTTTTTATATTTCTTGACGCTTTCTAAAATTACTCGAAGTTTTCAATTTTGACCTACCAAAAGTACCAACTAGATTCACTTTTTTATCAAAAAAGGTGCTGATCTTGAAAATTGAAGCTTTTTTATTATCCAAAATTTGCAGATAGACAGAAAAAAAATTTAAAAAAAAACATTGTTATTAAATCAATACATTCTTTCGCTCCGCTCTGAATCTAAGATGAATAGTTGTCCGTGTGTGTATGTGTCCTTTATGCATTCTTTAACGGCTGCACAGATTTTGATAAACAATTTTCTGTGTGTTTGAGTGGTTCCCGGGATGATTTAGATTAACAATTGGACCCAGTAGATCCAACTCGAGGAGGTGCTCAAACAGGGACTTTGAGATTTACAATGGACATTTTTGTTTATAAATGGTTGCTATTGGTTATAGAAGAAATAATTAGTATTTATTATTTTATTGGTTTTCATTGGTTTATCGGGCAGATCAGGTACAAACATGCATATTAAATCGAATTTTTGCGCATTGCCTACAAAGGTGGCTGAGTTGCACTTATTGCATCGAGTTATACTCAAAAAGAGTTGAATAATCCCAATTTTTAGGAACAACGAAGTGCGCTAGTAAATATATAAATATATGATTATTATAGGAGAACGAGAACAAAATGTAATACTGTGGATGGACCATAGGGCAAAGAAGGAAGCGGATTTCATCAACACAACGAATCATCGAGTGTTAAAGTATGTGGGAGGCAAAATATCGTTAGAAATGGAAACACCGAAAATTCTTTGGCTAAAAAATAATCTACCAAAAATTACGTTTTGGCAAAAAGTGGGTAGGTTCTTCGATTTACCCGACTTCCTTACTTGGAAAGCCACGGATGCCGTCTCCAGGTTTGTGTGCATAATAATATATTATATAGCAGTGGTTTTCACCCGCTTGGTCACATGAGCTTCAGAAATAAGTCACAGACTGCAATAGTTACCTATACTTTTAATAGTTAAATAAAATATAAATATATATAGATAATAAAAATAAATATTAATCGATTGTGCGGAGGCAATAAAATGAATATAATAATGATATATTATTATAGTAAATTAATTAAAATTTGATCTGTTTTTGCTTTTTACTCAACAAAATATATAAACCGGTAGGTACTTTTATTATATTATATATTAATCAGTTATAATTTGTCTAAAACACAAATAAATTATAAAATATCTAGGTTGAGAGTCCAATACCGTTGAAAACCGCTGCATGTACCTATACTATACACTTATAATATATAGTAGGTATATCATAATTCATAATGCTAAAAAAATAGCAAATACATAAACCGACACCCGTGACTTGCTATATAAAAAAATACTGTTTCTTTTACAGGTCACTATGTACTGTTGTCTGCAAATGGACGTACTGTGCAGATCAGGCGTTGGGTAGTGGTTGGGATCGCTCGTATTTCGAAGAAATTGGTCTGGGAGACTTGAGCCAAAACGATTGGTCGGCGATAGGTTAGTATCTGCGTTCTGTCATCAGGTCACGATGTTTACCCAGCTATGACCACGGCGGTCGTTATACTTTTAAATCAACGCCTTTTCTTTTTCGTAAAACAGGCAACGAAATATTTGAGCCAGGACGACCATGTGGCGGTGGGCTGACCGAGAAAGCAGCCCTTGAAATGGGACTAACCGTCGGGATTCCGGTGGCCACGTCATTGATTGATGCACACGCCGGAGGACTGGGAATGATCGGGATTGGGTCAAAAAATCTGACTGAATTCAAACACCGATTGGGTGAGTATTATATACGTATTTATTTATTACTATACGTGATTTTCAATTTTACGACTTCCAAGTTATATATTTAAATATTTTGTACCTCATCTTCTAAGTCTATAATAAGTATCTACTACCTACCAGCTACCCTACTGCAATATATTATCTATATATATAAAAATGAATGTATGTCAGTGTGTGTGTCTGTGTGTCCATGTTACCATGGTTACCAAGGTTGCCATGGTTACTAAGGTTACCAAGATTTCATATCAATCTATATATATATAAATGAATGTATGTCAGTGTGTGTGTGTGTGTGTGTGTGTGTGTGTGTGTGTGTGTGTGTGTGTGTCCATATTACCATGGCAACCATATCTGTATATAAAAAACAGTAAGCTGATTGACTGCTATCAACGCACAGCTCAAACCATTGGACGGATCTGGCTGAAATTTGGCATACGGATAGCTATTATAATATAGACGTGCGCTAAGAAAGGATTTGCCAAAATTCGCATTTTAAATAGGTGCTGAAACAGGGACATTGAGATTCACGATAGAAATTGGACATTTTATTTTTATTTATTTATAGTTGCCATTGGTTACAGTCTACATTAGAAATTAGCATTTATTTATTGGTTGCCATTGGTTATTCGGGCAGATCAGGTACAAGCTTGCATCAAATCGAATTATTGAACAATGCTTACCAGGGTGGCAGAGTTGCACTTACCGCAGAAAATTACACCCAAAAGGAGTTCAACAATCATAATTTTTTTAAGAGTTGCGATTTTTTACGAGCAACCAAATTTATTATATTAATCCACAGTATTACATCAAAATAAACTTGGTATAACTTTGATACTTTAGAGTTAAATCATACACTTCCGTACAAACAGCACGGGGTCCGCGATCTACCGCAGGTAGATTGCCTACCTGATAATGTACTGCTGCGATTCAGAATTTTTATTCAGGGCAACGGGAAAGATAAGATAAATTTTGAACACCATACACCGAATATTGAATAATGAATTGAACAAAGTTTGAGTAGGTAGTATTGAGTTGATCCATTTAACGGGCGACGAAGTGCACGGGATCAGCTAGTATTAATATACAAAATAAAATCTTTTCTGATTTTTAAGTGTAGAAATCAAAGCAATTAAAGAAATTTCAATAAAAAATATTGAAAAATAAGTATATTAGTTTTTATACATATTTAATGCAAGTCATTATAGCATTATATAGCTATTTCTTTTGCAACTCCATGCCACGCTGCACATGGTTTTTTGATAGATATAACTATATAAGTATATAACTACTTTCATAATATAGTAATATTGTATAAAATATATACATATAGCTTATACAGTTATATTTTTATATCTATAGACTATATAGTAGAAACAAACTTATTATCTATTATAACTTGAACAATATTATACAAAATATATTAAATAGAGTTATTTTAATTTTGTGTGATACAATTAGTAAAGATTAAACGTAATTCCTTCCATTTTTTTACTCTCAACATTTGATGGACCGCTTATACAGCATATAGGTATAATACTTATCTAATAAACTGCACCTATTTAGGCTATAGGTACAGGTAATAATATACCTATTACCTATGTTATGTATGCGTTAATGCGTTATGCTATGCTATGCTATATAAAATATACAATATATTTATGTTTATGCTAATGATTCTGCACTTCTGCAGTGATGATTGGGGGCACGTCGACATGTCATATGCTACTCAGCGACCAAGAGGTGTTCATAGACGGCGTCTGGGGACCATACTACGGTGCCATGGTACCGGGCCTGTGGCTTCTGGAAGGCGGCCAATCAGCCACGGGCAAGCTGATCGATCATGTGATCAACACTCATCCGGCCGCCAAATATCTGAACGTCACTGAAGACGTGTGAGTACATAATTATTATATAGTTATTGCATAGGGCTGAAGACTTCTAGTACTTAAGAATCCCTTCATCATATGAATGCACTTAAAAAACAAGAAGTATTTTCTAGTGCAGCGATTCTCAACCTATTTTTATATCCGCGTACCACCTACAAGGTTTGACCATTTTTATGTACCACTTGACTAAATAACCTTTTTTTTCGGATCAAAAATGTAGGTATACGTTAATTTACATGAATGGAATTTTATTTTATTAAGAACTACACAATTATGACAATAATATAAGCATTTAATGCACAAAATGAAAGTTAAATATGTAAAATTATTATTAATATCTAATAAACCAAATAATATTTAATGTAAATAATGATCTACTTTTTTTTTATAAAGGGAGTTTTACGTAAACGTCGTTTTTTAGACGAAAAAGTAAAATAATACATGCCTATATAACATACTACCCTGAGTTTATAGGTTAATTGCAATGGTTTAAGTTTTACAATTTTTTTTTTTTTATCGAATAATTCAATTTTTACAATTGACATTATTGTATCCATCCGCTTTTATATCAGGAGAGCGGAAGAATACCTGAACGGGTTACTCGTGAAAATGGCCGCAGACAGAGGTTTGGATGCAATCGATAGGTTGACGGAAGAGTTTCACGTATATCCTGATTTTCACGGCAACCGATCGCCCATAGCGGATCCCACGCTTAAAGGAATGGTACGTGTGGGCTTTTAAGAAAATGCCACAATATTTGTTATTTATTACAAATAAAAAACATAAAAATTATGGTATCAAAGATGATCAAAGTCATAAGTTTAGAAGTTTCTTAAAATAACAAGTTAGGAAAGCTTATTAAGAGATTTTAAATTCACCATATTATTAAATCCACGAGGAAGGTCTACTGGGAAATCGGGAGTCTCATTATGGTAGGCCATTATGTATATAATACGTAGGAGCCCCAATCCCCTAAATGTTTAAAAACATTTGTAATTTCATAATACTAGTACTAGTACCGACTATGCTGTATTCAGGTGTATTTTTATACCTCATTAGGGGCCTGTGTATACTCGTTGATAGTAGTATATGGTATAGTATATACCTATACGTTATATACTTATATGTACCAGGTAGTAGGTACCTACTAAATAATGTATACAATATTAAAATAAAATGTATGTATAAATAAATATGTACAATATTTTATGAATGATAAAAGTAAAAAAGGTTAGGTTAGTTACAGTAGTTGTAATGGATGTGTTATATTTGAATACGATAATAAACCATTGAATACGAAAAACGATTCTGAGCGGTTAGCTTAGTCCTTATAATATTATTATTTTTTATTCGTTGCTATGGTGATAAAGAAATCGATAGAACATAAAAATTAAAATCTCATTTTTGGCCGTTTTTCGTAATTTGTAGATAGTTTTAAACTACTTGGAATTTTCAATTTTGACCTCCCAAAAGTACCAATTAGGTTCACTTTTCTATCAGAAAAGATGCTGATCTCAAAAATCGAAGCATGCTGCTTGTACTTTGTAAAACCAATACATTCTTTAGCTTCCCTCAGAATCTAACAACCAGATTAATATTATATTTTATTTTTTTAAGTGGTGCCCATTATCTTCTTGAAGAATAAATAAAAATAAAATAAATAAATAAATAAAATATGATATAAGAATCGAAAATTATTCTCCTTTAATTTTCCGACGCCACTAATAAGTAATAATAACCTCGATTTTACTTCATATGGATTCATTTGAAAAATGAGGATTATTAATATTCGATCAGGTAAAAATCCAAATTACAAAAAAATCTTTGAATACAATTTGACAAACTTGGATTAATTAATGAATTAATTAATGTCCTGAAAAAAGATCTAAACTTCTCTCAAAAATTAAAAAATTAACTTGAAGGGGATTCCAAATACTTCCTTAAATTTTACTCAGATAACATTTTTGAATATATATTAGAATTTATTATAAAGTAATTTTGAAACTTTCGAGACAAATTTTATAACTGTATTTTTATCCATTGTAATGTCAAAAAATACGATATTTGTTTAACATTTCAACTGAGATTTTTTTTTTAAGAATAATAAATTAAAAAAGGTGGGTAAGTGGATGTCGCTCTGCTGTACAGTAGGTTACAAGTGGGTCACTGTATAATGGATGCTTTTAAATTTGAATTCAATGATACAATATCATTGTATAAGAAAAACGATTCTGATCGAAGACGGTATGTCAGTCTAGGTTTAAGACAAATTATATACATATCTATGGTATTAAAAAAAAAATTGACTTATAATAAATTCCAAATTAATCATATCACATTATCACAATATCCATTAGGTACTTATAACATGTTATACATCAACATCAATAACAAACCCTGATACTATCATAGATATATAATAGTACACTTTAGAAGTTTCAAGTAGGTACCCCGTACCCACGAATAATATTATATAATCACAACAAAATAACTAGGTTTTTTAATATGAAATTTCGTCCAAATTTGAACATAAAATGACTATAAAAATAAACTGTGATTGTATATTTTTTAGATTTTTCGGTAAGAGAATTAACTACTTACGTAGAATCTTGTTTTAAATTTTCAATCCTTAGCTATAAAAACTGAACATTTTATAATTTATTAATTATGATTAATTACGATGATTAATAATTTTCGAGATTTTGAAAAATTCTGTCAAAATTCGATGTTAAAACGCTTATAAAAAAAAATTGTGCCTATGTATTTTTAATATTTTTCAACTGATATTGTAACAATATATCAGGAGCCTTGTATTAAATTTTTACACTTTTTGGCCCAACAGATAAAACTTAATTGATATTTATAGAAAAAACAAACTAAAAAAATTGAAAACTGAAAATGTCCGTAAACGGCTCAAAAAGAGTCAAAATATTTTCAAAATTGTATGGTGTATAGGAAATGCTAATATAAACATTCAGTGAAATTTGCATGTATCTACAGTAATTCGTTTTTTAATTACAACAAAAAAAGGAAATTGCCACATGAGAAATCGAGTGAATATCCAATGTTGTAAAAATTTGAATTTCAAACGCTCATAAAAATTTAATTTGACTTTCCGGTAGAGATTTTTTTATTGATAAAGGTAGACAATCTTATGAGTAATCTTGTATTAGATTTTCAAATCTTAGATTTAAAAAGAAAAATTTTTACGAATTCTTAACTCAAAATAATTTGCTAATTTTCGTGATTTTTCCATATTTTGTAAATTTTTGAACTTTAAATGCTTATAAAAAAAAATTGTGACTAAGGATTTTTAATATTTTTCATCTGCCTTTGAAACAACATATTAGGAGCCTTCTATTAAATTTCCAAGCTTTCGCAACCAACAAATAACATTTTATTGATATTTCTAGAAAAAAAACTAAAAAAAAATGAAAAATGAAAATGTCCCTAAACAGTTCAAAATAAATCAAAATATTTTGAAAATGTTATCGTGTATAGAAAATGCAAATATAAACAACCAGTGAAAATTTCATGTATCTACGGTCATTTGTTTTAAAGTTACACCAAAAACCAAATTCGATTTTTTGGAAAATCGATTTTGCGTAAAAATTCCCGTTTTTCCTTAATTTTTATGTTGTTTTTCCCGGCGCTTGTGAAAACTACTGGAAAATGTTTACTTTTGACCCCCCAAAGTACCAACTAGATTCATTTTCCTATCAGAAAAGGTACTATTGAAGACAATCGAAGCACTTTTACTGTCCCAAAACGTGATGACAGACACAAAAATATAAAAATATAAAAATATAAATAAAAATATAAAAACATACATCATTGTAAAACCAATACATTCATCGCTCCGCTCAGAATCTAAAATGTGGCAAAGAATGATTCAACGGTGAAGATAGAATACTAGGTAAATAAAATCTGTATTCAAAATTGTCATCGGTGTAACTCTAAGGTCGGTATGTTAGGACTCGTTAGGTCTAAATTACATCATTTTTCGGTGAAATAATTTTGATTTTAGACGTTCTATGACAAGTGCCTGTGAGAGCGTAACGCTTGCCTTTTCTCATTGTTGATGGATTTTGAAATACACTTCATAATAAATTCAAATATGTTTTCAAAATTATTATCGTAGTAAAACTCAAGTCAGTACGTTGGTACGTGTATAGGTGGATTTTCAGTAAAAAACGGTATTGTAGAATCCCCTTAAAATTAAAAAATTTCAAAACGAGCAAAAAATATTTCTTATTCCGATTCAATAATCCATGAAACGTGTCCTATATGGCTATATATTATAAAACGATCCGCGTAGCTAGCTTTCGAAAACAATGCGAAATGCATCGAAATCCCAGCAGTAATTGAGATTTTATTTAAAAAGCATTGGGAGCGAAGCAAGTGGTTTCTTTTATATAACAGGCCCTAAGTACCTTGTGTATATATGTGGCCCTAATAAATATTTACCAGTAAAAAAAGTACCTATAAAAATTCACTTATCAACATTTTCTGATTTTCCAGTAACAAATATTATTAATAGATATAATTGAGCGAGCTAGTGATAAACGTATTGTAAGATATATAAAAATATAAGTACCTATTATAGTATCATATATTCATATTATATCCATTAGCAATCTATTTCACTTTACTCTAGATTAAACTGCAATATAAAATATAAATATAATATTTAATGTTGTATTTTAGATGGTCGGGTTGACGCTATCCGTGGACCAAGAGAACTTGGCACTTATTTATCTGGCAACGATACAGGCGCTGTGTGTAAGTATATAATAATTTAATATATATCAGGTATACCTACACTTAAAAAAATATAATATAATATTATGTTAAATCAATTTAAATTATATATTATATAATCATATTGCAATGAACCAAAAATAGGGGCTATTACTATTCAGTGAAAAATGGGGGAAATGGCTACTTGGAACGGTCTATAATCTATATGAGTGAAACGTTTCACTTCTCTCGTGAGCCAGTCTTTTTATAATATAGTACGCGATACAGTTCTCTGTATTCAATAGTGTATTCAATGAGGGCATCACCCTGGGTGCCAAATGTCGAGTTAGATAAATGGGCACCTATGCTTGAGGTTTAAAGTACCGTCAAACCAATAATTTTAATTATTTAATTTTAACCAATAATTTTATCTATTAATAAAATATTAATAAAGAGAATGTCAAAAGTAAAATTTTAAGCTTAAAATAAAATGTAGCAGGCTATTATATAATTTTCACTTTTGAGAAAATGTATAAATCATAATCATAAGTATGTTTTGGGGGTTTTAACGTACATATTAGTTTAAAAAATATCGAGAAGCATGTTTAATGCTGCATTATAAGTTAATTTTTACTTAATAACAAATAATGAAAAAATAAAGCCCAATAAAAAACATTTTAACTAAAGGAATTATTAATCATGAGCTGTTCAAATTGTTCTAACTCATCACGTTTCAGTTCTCTGTAAGCTTTCTGGTACCTAGTATAAGAATTCATAATTTCTCAAATATATCTACTTTAAGAAAATAATTCTAAAACAAACCATATACTTATAAGTTATAGTTTATTTTATTTGTTATTACATTTTATATATTTGGTACAAATTCTGGATAGTAAGTTTTATTAATAACTATAAGTAACCTATAGTAACTATAACAACGAAAACCTTACAAAAAATCGGTCAGAAACAAAAAAAAATTCATGTTAAAACAGCAAAACCACTTTATAATTTACTTGTAGCTATATACTGCGGAAAAGCTGTGTAAAAATGGGAAGGATTTTTATACTTTATATTATCATAGATATTGCCTGGATACAACTTTTTTATGAGTATTTATTTTTAGTATTGTGTGAGACTACTTCCCGTAACTCTTTATAAGTATGTCTATAGTTGTTAAATATTAATGGAAATGGCGTGATACTTTAATATACTTAATTGTCCCTGAAGAGCCATATTTCCAAGTACCTACGCCACTAGTTATAACTTATATTGTGGGTACTTTCAGGTTTCAAGAATCAAGAGTCACTCATTAAATGTTGTAATTAATTATTATGATATTTAGTTATTACTTTATGAGGTTTTGTGGCTTCAGAATGTGAAGATCATTACAATATACCAGATACCTGTTAGTACAAAATATACATTATACATGCTATATTGTCTTAAACCGATGTATAATGACTAATGATAATGGCATGTATAATATTATACCGAATAACTTATTTAACCCGCTACTCTAATTTTTTGGACTTCGATCAATATTTTTTGTAAAGGTAGTCCAAACTTTATTTAATTAGGTATATATTATAAAATTTAAGCTATAACACTATGGTTGTTGACGTCTAGTAGGTTACACAAAAGTAGATACGTATTAAAATCAAAATATATGTGATATATTCAATTATTCAATATTGTTGTCTGTTGATCATAATTGTTTTTATATCGAACATTGAATGAATAAGCTTTTTTTTATATAATATACTCATATATAGAAGCATGTCTATTGTCTTAATGCTAACATAAATCTGTTTCATCGGACATCTCCGGTCACCTTTCTCCCTAACATAAACAAATGCCTATATCTAGTAAGCCCATGAATATCCCACATTCATTCAACTATTATAGACTAATATAGAGCTATAGAGGTAAGTCGTGGATAACTATAAAATCTATACAAAAACCACAACAACAATAATTGACAGAGAAGTTACAATATTATATGTATGGTGATAATATATATTGTATTAATAAAATAATATGGTTTACAATATTTACGTACTTACGTTCACACTTCTATACCACGTGCATTAAAATGTTGCATGCACTTCGGTCCAGTACGGGACTAGGCACATCATAGAATCGATGGAGAAGAAGAGCGGAGGATCGTTGAACGTCCAAGAGATCCTCGTGTGCGGCGGACTCTGCCGAAACTTGACTTTTTTACAGTGTCAGGCGAACGTCGCCGCGCTACCAGTACGTACTTCCACGGAAGACGACTCCGTCCTGATCGGTTCAGCCATGTTGGCCGCAGCTGCGTGGAAGTCGTCCAAGTCATCGGCTGAACTCCGCCCTTGGTCTTCATCACTCGAGGACGCCATCACGGCAATGGCCAGCGACGCTCGCACTCTACACCCTTCGTTGGATTTACAGGAGTAAGTAACACCATAGACTGTGGGAAAATAGTCACTTGTTTCATATAGTTTGTAGTAACATATCGATACCTATAATAAGCTTCATATCAGTTCGGTGTTGACCTACACGTATGTACGATTGTCGGCTCTGTTATCGCGTTTTCAGGTATGTAAACAGTTAACAGTTCACGCATGTTGAACGCGTTTTCATTCTAATATGTATAACACCACCTCTCCGAAAATTTTCAATCCCAAACGGTCGCTGCTATCATCTCCAAATTCACCTATCGAAATAGGAAAAAAAAACCAAGTAATTTGTTTCGCCAAATAAATTTGCTGTCCTGGCTAATGAAGAGGACAATGAAATCCAACCCGACACCTCTCGTGATACTTCTAATATAGCCAACGAATCAATACGTTAGTACAAATCACCGGCCCTAACGGGTTCTCTTGTAAGTCTCGTCTTTTTTTCTCATTGTTCGATTTCATGGACGCCAAATGTTTAACGTAATCATAGATCATCAAAAATGGCCACCCATGCCCACTGATTCTCTTAGAGTTAAATCCCAACACCAACAATAAAGAAATTCTAAACTGGTCTTCAATTTTGCACACTAAAATCAGAGTCAAATTACCATATAGGACCAAAAGTGATCCACCTGGGAGCATACTACTTGCGTCCGGAATTATTATCAATAGGTGAGTTGCGTGCCGCAAAAAAAGGTTCAAAAAAGGTCTTAGTCTATTTACGACCTGGTATACCTTTTTTTATAACCTAATTGCGTCCCGAAAATATCGATGTAAAAATTTAAATTAAAAACAATACATTGATGTTTATTTTAATTTATAATATAGAAGTATAAATAAGAAAAAAAGTGGCAAGAGGATGTCGCTCTGCTGTTCAGTAGGTTACAAGTGGGTCAATGTATAAAACTATAAATGATTGTATTGAACTTGAAATCAATGATATAATATCATTATAATATAAGAAAAACGATTCTAAGGGGAGACCTAACCTAACCTGAATATTGTTATTATTTATTATATCCTGTAAGTTGAATTTATATTATAATAGGTAATATTATTTTTTATTCGTTTCTATGGTGATAAACAAAGCGTTTGAAATTAAAATCCTATTTTTATCGGTTTTTCGTAATTTGTCGGTGGTTTTTCCTGTGGCATTAAATAACTATTGAGAAAATCGAAATGAATGCCCTTTCTAAAGTACCATCTTGATCCAATTTGCTAAAAGATAAGGTACTATATGTTGAAATCAAAGTGCTTTCTGGTAGATATTTTGTATACAGGGTATAAAAAATAAATAAATAAATAAACACCATTGTAAAACCACCTAGCTTCCTCGCTCAGCTCAGAATCTAAAACTCATATGTTATGATAATAACTTTTATCATGATATTTATGGTAATAATAATAACAATTTATACATAAAGTAATAATAAATTGTCATGTCATGATATACGTTATATGGGTTGGAATTTAAATGAAACGTTTCTTATAAAATTTAATGGTGAAATTTCGTTTTTTTTAAACTTTCGATTTGTTTTTTTTAAGAATTCTAATTTTAAATATTGTTTTTTTTCCTGTTATATTTTTTTGTAGTATTAATGCTATTAATTAAGACATATGTATTAATCTGGAATGATTTTAAGACGTTAATGAATTGGAAAATGTATGGATGACTAGAATAAAAATATGAATTAAATTTCGAGTGAAAATCCTCACATGCATTTGTGGTTCTTACTTCTTTGTACTATCTTGTAGTAGGAAGAAAATACGCAGCAAGGGAATGTAGTGATTTTAGGTGAAATGTGTATAATATATTAAATACGGTATAATAAGACGATTACGTAGAGTACAATCAATACGCGGGGTTGATGACCTGCTTCAACGGGCAAGGGACGCGTCCGGTGAGACCGGTTGCCTGTGTCCTTCGGAGAAATGAAGGTTCAATAACCCCCTCTACGGCATTGCTGCTTGACAATGTAGTTGTACCTAGTAGGTTTATTTGTATTAGTAAGGGGGATTGTGGGTATGTGTGAATGTGTGTGTGTTTACGTATTTGGAAATCGTGTGAAATCACGTTATTATATTGCTCATTTATCCGCGTAAGATCTTTCTACTACTGTGTTATACCTACCTAATGATATTTATATTATAAACGTTATTATAATAAATGCCAAATCACTTACCTCGTGCGTGGGTTGTGATGATTTCCTTCTGCGATCGGATTGTATTTTTTCGGGGTGGTGTTCGATGATCGATATCACTTTGACTTACATATGCTAAATACCACACTATCATGTGACTTTAATTTATACCAATCAGCTAAGATGATTTTCGTTTGATGATATTTATATGATTCGAATATTACTCATATAGTCATATAGCTTCTACGGTACATTCCTCAACTTTTGTTTTCATTTGTAAATCGCATTGTAATATGATTATTATTTAATTAGGTACCTACCTTAATTGTGGAAGTTAAGCCTAGTTTTCTTTTAAATCTATTACGTCCGACATCACTATATAGGACCTTTTGCGGACATTGATAACTACTTGGACGTAATCTATCCTATGAACTGCTAATATAGTATGATTTTCACACCTTAGAGATTTATTGTATTCGCCGTCACCATATAGGACCTCTTACGAACATTGATAACGACCAGAATACAATCCAGCCTATGAACAGTTATAACACCAATATAATATAATATAAATTATGATTATATTTATATTATTCTAATCACAGTTCACACTACACTAGCAATCGATTATTTAAATTCGAGACATGATGATAGAGGATAATAATTAATAATATATTTGATCTAGCAATATGAGACAAATAAGTTAGTGACCATACCTGAATATTCGAATGATACAATACACATATAAGTTCATATCGCAAAAAGTAATATATGAGCATAAATGAATAATGTGTTAAGGGGGCTGGAGCGTGATTCATTTTCGGTCGAAAACATAGCTCACGACTTCAATTCCTACGCCCAATATAATGTTCCGATATTAATTTTAAACGCAGATTTGAATTCGTCACTAAATTATCTATGTTTTGACAATTTCATTTTTCTGATTTTTATTTTTTTTTAAATAGAAAATTACTAATAAAGAGAGTAAAAATAGATCATATTCATAATTAAAATTTAAATACATTGATATAGAATATGAAAAATGTACGACAGTTAAAACTTAGTAAATTTAGAGGAGAATTAAAATCTGCTTTCAAAATTTAAATCGGAACATCCTACTGAGCTTAGTGATCGAAATCACTGGCAGTATTTTTGAAAAAAAATGTTTGTAATTTTATGAAGCAATATATTATGGTGACTTGTGCATGCGCGTAGATAAAATAACAGACGTGCATCCCGGTCCCTATAAATCATGATCAGTACTGAGAATTACACACACTAATGTTCATTTACTTTCAACACATTCACAAGACAAAGGTAAACAGAAACATAAAATGCCTAGTTTTTACTCCTTAGAATTGATTACGCTCCAGCCCCCTTAAAGTGTAGAGATGTTGACTGGAGTGGACAATGTGTATTGAGACTTCTCTGGAATAACACTGACGACGAGTCGATTCCGTATGGTTCTTATATAATATGATTTTCGTGTGATCCCTTCTTCTGATGTGCATCGATTAATACGTGATATTAAAGTATTGATATATTTCCTTATTTTGTGCGGTGCTACAAACGTACCACTGGTAATTTATTGTATTTTTTGACCGAACGTCTTGATCGGAGAATTATCTAAGGGGTCTTAAAGTATATAATATATCTGTGGCTTGGTGCAAGAAGGGCCAATGTCACATTTTGAAAAAATTGAGATTATTTTACCAATATCATTAAAATCCGCTTATATTACTTGAGTTAAAAGGGACAATGTCTCTTATGCTGTATGACCAAATTAGATTTAACATTGGCCTTTTTGACAATAATAGATCAAATAATAATCGATTTATTATTGGCCTATGTCGACATTGGCCACATAATATTGTCTATAGCCACAACATTGGCCATTTCGAAATCAATTAATAAAGTTTATAAATGTAGAAGTTACTAACATTAGGTTCAATTGAATATTATTATTAGGTTTTCTTAAAAAAGTCAAGTTATTTAATTATTAAAAATGTATTATTTTAAATTTTAGTTTTTGGCCAATGTCAAACCAAAGTAATTTTATTATTTTTTCTAGGGGGCAAATGTCAAACTAAAACATATATAATATCTATACTTAAAAACAAAATGAGAGTCATACAATGAAATAATAACAAATGTAATTAAGTAACAGAATTTTTAGAGTTCAAACATAAAATTTAAGATTTTTATGTAAATTTTAAAAATTGGCCAATTTAATATTTTAAATTCCTGAACATTGTCAAAATATGACATTGGCACTTCTTGCGCAAGCCACTGATATATAAATACGTAAGAATGCGTTCATGATTTTATAATGTACGGTGTTTACTGGCGCCGCTGATAATTAATTGTGTTGTCTCCACTAAACTGATCGGAGAGGTGTTGAATATTATTTGTGTTGCATGTGTAATGTATATATACATACCTAATGCGTAAGTATATATGTATATTGGATCACCCCCCATGCCATAATATTGTCCGTCGTTAGTAGTTGTCTCGTGTTTTATTTAAGTCTAAATATTATATATTACAATTTGAACATTCAGACATGAAGAGGGAATTTAGAATTTTCAGAAATATAGTTATCTAATATATAGTCTGTAAATATTTCACAACCAGTTGGATCGATGGCCATGAGATCAAACACAAACACATCACTCACCATTTCAGGAGATAAAAAATGTAGTCCAAAAAAGCACTTTAAAAATTTACCAATTTCTGTTGAAGTTCTGAAATCATTAGTTAAACCAATAGCTTGAATTTTTCGCCACCTATATAAATTACGTATTAATTAATTATTAAAGTAGAATTTAATTTATATTTACTAATTGTATATAC